AACCCAGGGCACGGGGGGCCCCCCCCCCCCCCCCAACTGTGGGTTGCGACCCACTTTTGGGTTGCGACCCACAGGTTGAGAACCACTGGTTTAGACAGTGATGGACTTTGCAGCTACACTTTAATGGAAACCTTTATTGAGAGAAAGATGAGGCTACAATGCTAGTCACCTGGCTGTCCATGTCCCTGATCCAGAACAAGCATTCAGCAAAGTCAGAATTCTTGCTCTGCATCCTTGCCCCTGGTCATTGACAAATTTTAAGGCAATGGGATCAACAGGATAACCAAAAAAACATGTGCAGGAGAGGTTAGCAATGGCAGCCTCTATATTTTATCAGTACAGCTCCCCATTAATGCCGCCCTCCCCAGCATCACATGCTCACCACCTAGCCTTCATTCCGCCAGTGCAAGCTCAAGAGTCAGTCACTCTAGTCCAAACTCACACAGGATCGAGGGCTTTCTTTGCAACCATGTGACCAGGCTGGGCCAATACACAAATGTCTGCCATCCCATGGACTAAATCACATTATTATTATACGGGATTTATATAGCGCCAATAGTTTGCGCAGCGCTTTACAATATAAGGAAGACATTACAGTCACAATACAATTTAAGACAAGATGGTAATGCTCCTGCATACCTGAAAGGAGCAGCAGGATAGTGATGGAAGGGCGAGTATATCATGCTGGAGAGGGGGCATTAAGGGCCCACTTACACTTCTCCAATGCATTGTGTTAATGCACGCACATTACGCTGGTAGCACGTTTTTCATTGTCAATGGCATTTCAATACACTAAGGCATCGCAGTTGTGTCAAACAAGCCTTGCAGCAAATGGTGTGTGCGTGTTATGGAGCACTATGAAAAAACAAAGTGTGAATGGGCCCAAAAGGGAACTTGAGGCTTAAGCCTGCATGGGTAAAAAAAAGTGCAGGATTGCTTTAAAGTGACCCTGTCATTTCAAAATGAATCTCCACTGAGCTCTCCCGGGAAAGGAATGTAAGGACTTTTCACAATGCTGAATCGCAAATCCAGAAGAATCTTCCTGTAGGGAAATGACACTTCTGGGAATGTCATTCTCCTGGGTTACCCCAGCACTCAGCGGTTCCCCCCCACTGACCACAACATCACTACTGTGCCCCATTGTAGAGGTCGGAGGGAGGAACCACAGAGAGGACACAGGAGACAGTGACGGAAGTGTCGTTTCTCTGCATCCTTTACAGGAAGATTGCTCTTGATCGGCGCAATGTTTACCATCACAGGCAGCAGGAGACCTTCGCCGAGATGGTTCTTCAAGCTCAGCGTTAAAGCTGAAGCCCAGGCAAATAAACAAAAAAGAACACATTTATTCAGATCTGTATTCCTAAATACATCACAAAATGTAACTTGGTAAATACAAGCTGGGTCAGTGCCTGAATATGACCTGGAATCAGCCTCTCAGAAGAGCAGAGCTCAGCGGGGCAAGAAGAAGCAGCACAAGGAGCCAAACTGGTGTGTTGCAGTGCGATGAGCATGCCGATGGGAGGAGAGCGCAGAGTGTTGATCAGTGTGCTGCTTGTCCTGTGCCAAGGTGGGGTGAGGGAGACCGGTAAGTGAAACCGCAGCTGAAAGATGAGCTTACCTCCCCGGGGTGGACTGGGCGGTGCCATGAGCAGAGATGTGTAAATCTCAGGACCGGATGGCAGGTAAAACAGCTCCCATATATGTAATGAATCTGTATTTAGCCATAAGTCCGTGTCTGTAGGTGTGGAGTGCCGCTCATATTTTAGTTTCCAGTAGGAAGGCAGAATCATCCCGCAGGAGAGCCCATCGTACGCAAGACATCACAGATTAGACTTTCCAAAGATTTATTATAAAAAGGTCTCAGAAATATGACAAACATACAATAAAACATGATAAATATCCTGCAGTGTAAAAGTGTACGATGGCACGGAGGTCGTACATTCACAATGACAGACGACCGGGAACGGAACCCCCAAATATTACCCATCAAACTTGCTCCAACAGCCTCCCCCCCTGCCCCGTCATCCGGGTTCAGCTACACAGAATTCTTTACTTGGCACCAATCAATAAAAATGACGAACTTCACATCACCGATGCCGGATAATTCTTATTCTGGAGTATTTGCCGCCGTCCTCGTCCTACTCTTGTGGCTGTAGACCAGGGGTAGCAAACCTCCGGCCCTCCAGCTGCGGTGGAACTACAAATCCCATGAGGCATTGCAACATTCTCACAGCCACAGACAACTCCCGAAGAGAGATGCTTCATGGGATTTGTAGTTTCACCACAGCTGGAGGACCGGAGGTTTGCTACCCCTGCTGTAGACTGTTCAAATACTCTGGGTTTCCACAATCCTAAAGGCAAAGTGCCAACCTGACCCAACAAATCCCCCGAAGTAAAAGGCTCAGCCAGGCTCCCCCCCTCCCCCCCATACAGAGGCAAGTACAATAAATCCAGTGCCGGGTTCAATGTGCCGTGTAGGATGTCTGTCCTGAAGCATGGACCCGGCAAAACTCCTGCTCTCGGCTGGCTTTGTTCCGGCATGGCTGGCCGGCTCTGGTGATGGCCTGGCAGAACTGGCGTGGAGACATCGAGGAAACAGAACTGGATGGGAGACAAAGGAAAAAAAAACTTGGTAAAGCTGCGGAATTCCTCCTCCCTCTTCAGGGTCAATGGTACTGCAGCCAAAATACAAGCATGGTAGCAGGAAACCAGCATCTTCACAAAAGGTCAGCCAAGGCAGTCTCCACAGGTCTCCATTTTATAATAAAGCAGCCACAGCCTGAGTAGAAAAGCCTGTCCCCTGCCAGCATGCTGCAGAGCAGGACTCTTGCTGTGTGGAAACAGTGGTCTCTTTGCAGAGGTCTAACTCACGCCTCCTACGGAGTCAAGAGTGCTCCAATCAGCTAATTTAATGGCTGTTTATTACTTATCTAGCCAAGTACATCCTATTGTCCTCAGGTGAGGTGCAGCCTCTGCACTCTGTGCTTTGGAGTTCCCAGCTTCCAGGATACACATAAATAAGGTTTTATAATACTCACAGGTTACTGGACATTGAGCTGTTGGGACTGTAGTTAGACTCTGAAAGTGCATCGAATGCAGAAGCCAGATGTCTCTGGGGTATCCGGTCCTGTGCCACCTGCCGGTAAAAATGGCCGCATGGTTAAGGGGTATGTCACACGAGGGATCCTGGATCACAAAGAGCACTCACCAGCTCTAACAGCATCACCCTCATTGGCTATGCTAGATGTTGCTTCACCAGCAAGGGAGGTCCTGCAGCCTTCAGGCCAGGGAAGGAACACCATAGGTGCAGATGAGTAGCCTCTTAACCAATCACGTTGCTGCCACCATCAGGATTGCCAATTTGACATGGTCCCAACAGTGGCAGCCCGTGTTAGACACAGGAACTATTGAAGGATATTAGAGGAAAAAATGGCCACACCAACAAAATACTCTTCACATCTATAGAAACCCCATATACTACAGCTGTAAAAAATCAGTCAAGGCAACTGGACTTGCTGTATTTTTCTTGAAGACATTTCACTGGACATCCGACCAGCTTTCTCAGGTCAGAATGCCCATATACTACAGCTGGCCAGAGACAGGCTGAGGGGTAGGCAGAAAAAGCGTCCACCTTGGGCAAGTAAGAAGAGGGTGCGAAAACTGCAGAACCTGCAACCGAGGCAGCTGTGGTAGTCAACAGCTCATCACAGAGGCCTATGACACTTTGGCCATTTAGCCTTGGGTGCTAGGACCTTGATGTCAGCCTTCTACTGCCCAAATCTTAAACTTCACAATACATAATTACAATCTCCTTTAAATGGTATATTGAATAAAAGGCAACATTCACAGAGGACCTATTGACTTCCCTACACTGAAGTCCATCAGCAATCTACTTACCCCCTTGGAGGGGCTGTCATAGGCCCGGATGGATTTAGTGACGCTGAGTCGGCGAAGCTTCAGGGCTGGAGTAGATTGGCTAGGAGTCCTCAAGCCGTGCAGGGCCTTCCAGTCTGCTTGTGTCGGAGATGCAAGGATTGACACCTCTTTCACCAAACACTCGTTACCCAGCACCGAATCTAAAAAAAAAAGCATGTTAGGCATATCCATTACATAATATCCAAGCCCCACGGGTAGATATTCAAAGCATGTTTTTGGTGGACCAAGTCACCTGCTGGCTTTGGATATGTTACAGATTCTAAGGGTGAGAAATCCCAGCACTGGTTCGTGGCTCTGCTATGAACCATTATGAGGATTTGGGTGCTCCTGCTCCCTCAAGTTAAGAGGACTATGGAATTCCAGTAGGTATGGAGGGAGTATCTCATAATGGATGTGGCAACTGTTTCATATGGAGAATTGGAGCAGAGATCTTACCATTGCATGTTAGGCACATCCATTACACAATATCCAAGCCCCACGGGTAGATGTTCATGCATGTTTTTGGTGGACCAAGTCAACTGCTGGCTTTGGATACGTTACAGATTCTAAGGGTGAGAAATCCCAGCACTGGTTCCTGGCTCTGCTATGAACCATCATGAGGTTTTGGGTGATCCTGCTCCCTCCAGTTAAGAGGACTATAGAATTCCAGCCGGTATGGAGGGAGCCCCTTATAATGGATGTGGCAACTGTTTGAAAAGGAGAATTCAGAGCAGAGATCTTATAATTAAAACCGCCAGGTTCCACTCACCAGGATCCACCAAATACTGACATACAAGCATTTTCAGTGGGAGGTCCTCAATGCACCATTCATGTCTCGGTACCGGTTTCATTTAGAGGAAAAATTTGTATTATGCCGAAATACAGGTGAAACGCGAATAATTAGAATATCGTGCAAAGTTCATTTATTTCACTAATGCAACTTAAAAGGTGAAACTAATATATGAGATAGACTCATTACATGCAAAGCAAGATAGTTCAAGCCGTGATTTGTCATCATTGTGATGATTATGGCTTACAGCTCATGAAAACCCCAAGAACCCCAAATCCACAACCTCAAAAAAGTAGATTATTACATGCAATCAATAAAACAAGGATTGTACATAGAACAATATCGGACCTCTGAAAAGTACAAGCATGCATATGTACTCAGTACTTGGTTTGGGCCCCTTTTGCAGCACTTACTGCAATTACTTTTGCACTATATTCTAATTATTCGAGTTTCACCTGTAAATGCTGAGGCACCAACTGCTGGCCATCTGCTGAAAATGCCTTGCTGCCCCTGGATTTTATACCCGAGTCACAGACCACATACAATACAACAAAAGGAGAATAAAGCCCCAGACTCCTCATCCGTTTACTCAGGGTATGCCAGGCAAACACCGCATTGGGTACTTTTAAAGCCAGATCGGGTTCACTTTTAAAATACAGAATATCACTTTCACATTCGTGCTCTGGATGGCCGGTTCTCACCATCTAAAAAACCATCGTCATTCCCCAACTTCTTCAGCTCCTCCAGCAGTGTCTCCTCGCATGTCCTGACAACACAGAAGAGGTCCAGTAAGTCAGTGATGGGCCAGCTAACTCTGTGAATATGGATTTTGATAGGACATGTGTAGGGAAACATAAGGAGCTTTATAAATAGGTGAAACCAAGGTGGAAATAATTCACCAAGACCAATATGTTCATTTTATAAAGACTTTCAACTGTTTGATCGCCAAAGATTTTGCCGAGAATTTAAACTACCCCGAAAGTGGGATAATCCATTATTTGTATTGTATGGAGGAAGGTGGTGTGATTTTATAACTTGCTGTAGAGTTTCAGCTATATACACCTCTAATATGAAGCAGCCATGACAGAGGAAATCCGCAGTCCTAGTAGAGTCACCTGACCACTAACATGGAGCAGCCATAAAGGACAGTACGGGAAGTCAGCAGTCCTAGTAGAAGATCTGGCCAATAACAACGAGCATCCATGAACATTGAGGTCCTAGCATAAGGTCCTATTAACCAGCAATATGGAGCAGCCATGACAGTAGAGTCTAGCAGTCCTAGTATAGAGTCACCTTACCACTAACATGGAGCAGCCATAAGGACAGTACGGGAAGTCAGCAGTCCTAGAATAAGATCTGACCAGCATGGTACAGCCATGATCATTGAGGTCAGCAGTCCTAACATAAGCTCCTATAACAGGGGAAGCAAACCTCCAGCCATCCAGCTGTGGTGAAACTACAAATCCCATGATGCATCTCTTTGGGAGTAATGTCTGTGGCTGTGAAAATCTTGCAATGCCTCATGGGATTTGTAGTTCCACCACAGTTAGAGGTTTGCTGTCCTATAACCACTAACATGGAGCAGCCATGACAGTAGGAGGTCAGCAGTCTTAGCATAAGGTCATCTGGCCAATACCATGGAACAGCCATGACAGTAGAGGTCAGCAGTCCTAGCAGAAGGTCCTATAACCACTAACACGGAGTAGCCATGACAGTAGTGGTCAGCAGTCCTAGCAGAAGGTCCTATAACCACTAACACGGAGTAGCCATGACAGTAGTGGTCAGCAGTCCTAGCAGAAGGTCCTATAACCACTAACACGGAGTAGCCATGACAGTAGTGGTCAGCAGTCCTAGCAGAAGGTCCTATAACCACTAACACGGAGTAGCCATGACAGTAGTGGTCAGCAGTCCTAGCAGAAGGTCCTATAACCACTAACACGGAGTAGCCATGACAGTAGTGGTCAGCAGTCCTAGCAGAAGGTCCTATAACCACTAACACGGAGTAGCCATGACAGTAGTGGTCAGCAGTCCTAGCAGAAGGTCCTATAACCACTAACACGGAGTAGCCATGACAGTAGTGGTCAGCAGTCCTAGCAGAAGGTCCTATAACCACTAACACGGAGTAGCCATGACAGTAGTGGTCAGCAGTCCTAGCAGAAGGTCCTATAACCACTAACACGGAGTAGCCATGACAGTAGTGGTCAGCAGTCCTAGCAGAAGGTCCTATAACCACTAACATGGGGCAGCCCTGACAGTAGTGGTCAGCAGTCCAACTACCAGCAGTACATCTGACCACTTCTATAGCTGGATGCAGAGTTCAGCCATGTAGGCTCACCACTATATGTTTGGCCCGTATAAGATATACAGATTATGCAGAAGAGAAATCCCAACAGGGAATATAATGCTCCACTGGCTAGAATTGTCTGCTGGTAAATTGTCAATATGTCCTCTTACTTTTCTGGTGTGGAGCTGAGGAACACCCTCTCCTTTTCTGTGGAAGCCCCAGACTCGGGAAGACTAGCAGGAGGCAGTGCAGGGCAATACTTCCGATTCTTCACCTTCACAAGGCAGCAGATAAAGTTCAGCAACATCCAGTGACCTAAAAATAAATCAGCCGCAGACCGTCACCTTCCAGACTATGAAGAATGGATACCAGCAGGCCAGAGAAGCCAATGGAAGAATACAGTTTGGTACAAAGGACTTCACGCAGCCCTGGGCCAGTAATAACTATTTTTTTTCTTCTCATCATAAAATGAGAACTATGAGGGGGGGGGGGATTTTCACTCAACCTCATAGTTCTAGCCGACCTGTGACAATTAAACTGACACGTCGGCTCAATAGATTGAGTGAACACATACTGTCGATCGCTCACTTCTCGATCATGTCCCTGCAGAGATCCGTGACCGTCACTCACGACTCCCTGCAGGGATTCCCCCCCACCCCCCCCTCTCCAATCCTCCAGCGCTGACTGGCGGAACGGACGGGGGAGGGGGAGATTACAGCTGGCTCTGCCTCTAGATAGGGAGAGCCACCTGTCACTCACGCAGCTGGATGGATCTTGACAGTAATGTCGGGATCCGTCCCGGCTGCGGTGCTCTCAGTATACCGCGTAGCTCACGATATACTGAGCTTTGGGTCACGGGAGGACGCTAGTTTATGTCCTCCCGGGACCCTTAGGAGAACTATGGTGAAAAACACTGACCCCATAGTCCTCCTTTAAGATCTTTTTTTTTTCTCATCCATTGACACAGAAAGAATAACCTTTGAGATATATTGTCGCCTAGAGGAGGACTGCACACTAGCAAACTGCGGGCCCAGGATTCACTCTACCACTCCCAGCATGACTTCCTTTTGTAGCAGCATATACACACCACACCGCCACATACAGCCATTGAGGTCTATGCGAGTCTGCATACAGTACTTATGGCTTCCTGGATGGGGAAAACAAGCCCGAATTTCACACACGGGGCCCCATATGCCGGTGTGGATGAGGCTGAAGAAATACACAACCTGATATTATAACATTTTACTGAATATTTTCATCTGATGCAGGACCTTAAGGGCCGGTTCACACCACAAAGTCCGCGTTCCAGTGTGTTCGGCCTCTGGAATGCAAGCTGGCCGGCTCCCTGCAGCGAGCCGGCCGGGCTGCGTTCGAGGCCGAACACTATGGAACACGGACTTTGTGGTGTGAACCGGCCCTTAGGTTGGGTTCACACCTAGGCATATCGAATATGCGCATTTGTCGCACGTTTTTAACCGCGATTCGCTGTGGACAAACACGCGTTTCCGAGGGCTACTTGGCTGTATCCCAATGGAAACGCGTGACAAAAACACCCCAAAGAAGCTCCTGTACTTTGGGCGTAGGGCGTTTTGTAGCGCGTTCATAGCCCAGGTGTGAACCATAACCATAGGAAATAATGGGACTTCGGTGTTTGAGCGTTTTGCAGAGCGTTCAAACGCGCTACAAAACGCCCAGGTGTGAATCGGCCCTTAGAGCTCTTTCAATTCGAAAATGTGTGAAGCATTCCTCATCCAAGTAGATAGATATTAAGAACAAACAACTACACTACACAGCCTGGCCAAAAAAAAAAAAAGGTCACCACCTGGATTTCGCTAAGCAAATAGGTCCGAGCCTTCCATTGGATAATTAGTCGAGGTTCAACATTATTTCCCCAATATATGAGGTCAGCTGCCTTCCTGCATATACTGAATGACCAGGTTTCCCCATCAATGGATTTCTTCTTTCCTGATGGCACATTGGGCACATTCCAAGATGACGCCAGGATCCATCGGGCTCAGATTGTGAAAGAGTGGTTCAGGGAGCATGAGACATCATTGTCACACATGGATTGGCCACCACAGAGTCCTAACCCCATTGAGAGCCTTTGTGCAGAGACTTTATGCAGAAATATTAATGCAGCTCTGGAAGGAAGTAAGGCCTCATTCACACACAATGCAAGCAAAATTGTATATTGCGTATATACGCGTCTATGCGTGCACTATATGCAATCCCAGAATGCATCACTCATAATGGAATTTTTAATGTGCTGTTCGAGCGCAAACACGCGTATGTGCGCTTAAATACGCTGCCCGGACGCATCTCTGTTCCATTCGGTTTTTGCGCAGATATACGTTACGCAAATATACGGCTCCATACGCGGCTGTGTGTATGGAGCCATTTATTTGCATGTGTTGCATATGGTACAATACGCGCGGCAGTGTGAATGAGGCCTTAATATTGCGACGTTGCATAAGCTTATTGTAACAATGCCAAAACGAATGTGTGCTGTAATCAAAGCTAAAGGCGGTCCAATGAAATATTAGACTGACTTTATTTTTGGCCGGGCATTGTATTATCTAAAAGCAGACACAGAGGAGAAGAGGCATTTTTACAAAGTCTACTGTGCACAGGTGAGTCAGCATTGACCTGTAAAGAACCCAGAGGGTGCGGCCCTCAGTGACAGGTCCGTCATGTGAAGAAGGATGGGTTAGTAATGATCATAACATCCTTTACTGGTTAACTAAACACACTGACCCGTGAAACTTCAGGAAGGGGATGTAGCTCAGTGGTAGAGCGCATGCTTTGCATGTATGAGGCCCCGGGTTCAATCCCCGGCATCTCCACTCTTATTGTTGCCCTTCCCTGCAGCTCTCAGCTACACGGGGCGATCTCAAATCTCTTGCCACCCAGAGATTTAACCACTTGCTGGTTAGTCACTTCTTACAGCTACTCATGATTCATAGCAGCCCATCCAGATACAAAAATGATAATCACTAGGATTGATCAGGGAACAAGCGGCTCCCTACAGATCAGTATGCGGTAGTATCTTGTAGTGATCAATTGCACGATTGATTTCCAACGCATTCTACTCTTAACACTTCCTCCAAAGTCAGTCATCTGTTCATCTGGTTACAGAGCTAACCCCCATGTAAGGCCCCTCAGGCTACATTCACACCTCTGCACGTTTCAGGCTGCACGTTTTATATGCATTTCCTGTTACAGATGCATTTTGCTGGAAACCACACCAAAGATGCGGCAAGGAAGATTTCATAGCAATGCAACTAAACAGAGGGGTGTCCCCACTGCAAATCTTCCTAAGGGGACAACTGATCCAGTGACAACTGAATGGGGGTTCCCACTTGCTTCTCATTTCTGGTTGCACCTATAGGACAGGAAGTGGAGGATTTCCCAGTGGGATATAAAATAAATACATGTATGGATGTGTTCTAACCAGGTCCTACTGTCCAAACCAAGTAGAAAAAAAAAGCTGGGGCTTTAGATGTAGTTAAAGCTGAGGAGTTTGGGGAAGAGCTGGTCACATGATGCTCAGCTTTTCTTTAACCATTACTATTGCTTCAGTGGCTATTTAAGCAGCAGTGTGAACTCCATATCATACCCTTGCTTTATATGAACCCCTATGGATTTTTGACTTGTCTATAGTGTATATGCCGGGTGCGTAACCTGCTGGTACTTGAGACCCCTTGACCCCAGCTGACTGCAGTAGGAGTGGGAGCACTGATGAAGGGTAATAGCCATGATCTGCATTATCCTTCTATATCATGTTCCCATGTGTGGCTCCTTGGACATCTCAAGGACTGCAATTGAGGCCTCCCCCTTAGCTCATAAGCGTACAACTGCTGATGTATAGGATATCATTACATACTACTCAGATACCCAAGTTTGCGGGTTCAAACATGAATGCTTAGCCCAGAAGAGTGCTTGTATGTTTGTAGTGATGGCCATTGGTAAGGGGTCATTGCCAGAGCCACTTCCCAAATCTGATTTTCCTAACTTGCCTGATGAATGTTCTCGGGAGGAACGTCTTCCATCTGATCCCACAGACCAACACCAGCTTATCCCACAGACACAACACCGGCTCATGGGCCCGTGCTGAAGACCTGTCCTAACCCTCAACCCAACTCCTAACCCCAAGTTCTCCTAAACATTTTGGCACCAACCTTTGCGTCTCCCCCTCACCCCCCCATACACCACTTTATTGCTCCATTCCCGCATTTACACATCTGAACGCACTCAGTACTTACCGGTCATCGTACACACCAGCAGGACAGTGAGAGACCGGAAGTCCAGAGACATCTGCTGGTTGAGCTCTGACAGAGCATTGACCACAATGAGAACGAGTAGCACAGCCCGGGAGAAGCCCGGTGTCTGCATGAAGGTCATCAGGAAGGCCAGGAGCAGGAAATAGGCCCCGTGAAGTACACACGTGTAGATGGCGTTCAGATTCCCTCCTGGAACAGTGTGGATATAATTCGCAATGATTATATAGCATATATGTTCTATGTTTGTGTATGGGTATCTGAATGCCTATAGTGGGGAACATGTGGCTTGACGGTTAAAGTGGACCTGAACCTGAGATAAAATTTACTGAAATGGTAACGTGACCAAGCCGTACCACGAAAACCTCCCCTTGAACTACTCCTGAAATCAAGCAGTGCTCTTACTGTTCTGTAGTCCCATAGCTGTATATCTGCAGTGTGAGATCATCAAAGCCACTGCTGTCTGACTGCTAGTCTCAGGAGAATTGGAATTATATTTGGTGATGCCATTACTGTGTTGCTCACTGTTGTCCTTGCTGGAGAGGAGGCTGCACCTGAGGACCTGCTGTGCAAGGATCTTCCCGCTTCTACTTTATCCATTCTGTGGACAGTGCTTTCTCTAAGCCTAGGCGGTACTGGAGTTCAGGTTTAAGCTAGGCCATCTCGAATATAGAGCCAGTGCTGATTACCAACATTACCTTGTAGGACTACCTTGTGGGGATGTTGAACACCATTGGCTGAACTGTTCTGCAGGCTACAATCAGCCAGCCATCTACTAGGACACTGGGACTCTTAGGTCCACCACAGTCAAGTCACACAAACTGCAGAAAGGATGTGAAGATGGACGCTCACCGGCCCAGCTGATGAAGCCTTGAATGTAACTCAGCCTGTGCTCGACATTGCGGTGCATGTGGTCCATGACGTACAGCACTGTGCTCAGACTCTGGTTCATACGCTGAAGTTTCTCCATCAGCTCATCGTAGTATTCGGCACTTTTGTTCTGATAGGAGAGGAAGAGGGCCAGGTTCGACTCTGTACAGACAAGCAGGAACTATAAAGGGTGAGGGTTACTTCATACTTCTCTATAAAGATGTCCTATGGACAATTCAGTTATATTAAGAATTCCTCAACTGGCACCTAAAGACCCTCTGTGGTCAGTCCAGGAGAAACTAGGGTAGGGAGTCATACCTGCATTTCACCAAACTGGAACACAACAAACGCTACAAAGGAAAGAAGGAACCATTGTCCTGTAGCATGTTTGTGGCCCCACTGGGGAGATTTCGCCTCATTTCATGCTTATAAATCTCCCCAAAGGAAGGTGAAAGCCAAAATATAGACCGGATACATCCTACATATAGAGCCATTTATCCAACTGTCCATCCAGAGCCGCCATTTATAGACCTGATACATCCAAAATATAGAGCCATTTATCCATCTGTCCATCCAGAGCCGCCATTTATAGACCGGATACATCCTAAATATAGAGCCATGTATCCAACTGTCCATCCAGGGCCGCCATTTACAGACCAGATACACCCTAAATATAGAGCCATTCATCCAACTGCCCATCCTGAGCTGCCATTTATAGACCAGATACATCCTAAATATAGAGCCATTTATCCTACTGTCCATCCAGAGCTGCCATTTATAGACCGGATACATCCTAAATATAGAGCCATTCACCCCAAAGAAGCTATGCAGACTGATGGAAATGTTAGTCTCAGATGATGCCCATGTTGGTTGACTACCACCTGGAATACGACTGTGATAATGCGAAAACTCACCGATTTTGGAGTAGACATCATGGGATCTCATTCGGACCTCAGAAAGGTCAGCTAGGATGGCTTTGTGTCCCTCATGAAGCTCAGAATCCTGTTCCATCAGATGACTGCTCACATTCTCTGTAGGAGTGATGGGAGAAAAATAAATATCTGTAGGACTGACAACACAAAGACCAAAAAGGATCACTGCCAGATGATCATAGGTGACAACATTGAAGGGATTAATTGCTGGGATACCAGGGACATCAATGGCAGCTTGTACATAAGTAGATTTCTTTTTTTTTTTTTAAAAGGTCAATATTGACTTTTTGGAAAATTTTGAGCTCAATGGCTTTCCCTGTTTATTAAAGTGCATGTATAGGAATTACCCAAATGTAACCCCTCCCCCACTAGATCATGTACAAGCATTTACTTATAATTTTTTTACATTGTTCCTGAAGCCAGAAACAGCATTTATTACCCTTTGTGACATCCTCACCAGGCTTGAAAAACTCTTGCAGGGGCAGCTGCTGGGAGGTCAGTTTCTACTGATGTAGGTACGCCCCCCCCAAAACTATATCTCCAAAGAGCCCTTTCAGTACACAGTTGATGTATTTCGACATCAATGAGCTCTCTGCAGCGCAAGAAACTTCTGGGCTTTATTCTACCGGTACCAAGTTGACATCCTCCTAGCAGACTTAGGACTGGGCTCCCCTGAGCATCAAGAGCTGTCCTGGTCTTCCTCGTGGGGGAGAC